GGGCAACGCTGTGTAGTTACTTTCAAAATGCGCCGTTTGAATATTTAGCGCATTTTAAAACAATTTTCGAAGGTTAGTTCATATTTTACTTGGAATCTCGAAAGAACTGTCTGTGTTATTACTTCTTTTATACTTTTTCATGATTGAGATGAAAGTTATATAGTCGCTGGAGCATAGTAATTTTGTTTTGTTTCGTTTTGTTTTTTTGTTTTTTTTCAAAATTGTGATTTATTTGCTACTTCAAAGTTGTGAGTTGAAAAATAAAAGGCAATGTAAAGACAAAATTCTTCCTTCGCTCATTACAACATGATTACTCATGGTCTGCTTTGTTCATGTTGGTTAAACAGAACTGACAAACTTGATAAACGTTGTAGCCTGTCTGGAGGAGTTTTATTTCTGCTTGTACTTCTCCACACTTACAACTGGTCCTTCTTGCTTTTGGCAGGACGGCTCATGACGTCTTCTTAATAGCAAGGGCAACGAGAACGTGAGCAACGTTTTTCTCAGGGTCCTTTATCTTCTTCCCTCTAGAAAGTACACTGGTTTCGGCTTTTCAAGTCCCTATGCAGAACAAAAAATACCACGGGGAGGGTGGGTGTCGAAAAATTGACAAATTGCGGGAGCATTTTTAAAATGACGCTTATTTTGCTAAGGAGACTTCATGTGAATTCGTTTGTTTTCGACTGGTTACACAGACACTTAATTAAGAGTTAAATATGTAATTTGTCAAGAGGCTTTGGGCTGATTATTTACACGAGGTCTAACCCAAACCACGCCGGTTTTATGCAATCAGGGGGCCTCAGGCCTTCTCAATAAGAAGGTCGATAAATGAAATGTCTTTCCACTGTTAACTTTTGGCCTCCTTGACACTGTTCACAAAAATAAATGTTCAGATGGACCAAAGATTTTTTAGGTCGCAGCACCGTTAAACAATGGCTATTAACTATTTTTAAATGACCGGCCCTTTGTATATTTAGAGAATGATGTAGTAGCATTACTGCCAATTGGATACAAAAAAATCGCTATTATTTTAAGTTTCCTATTGATTGGTTGTTTGAAGGAAAGAAATGCACCCAGCACGCACATTTCCAAGCAGGAATTGTAAGTCGTTAGTGTTAGATGTTTCTCAGTTAAAACGCCTTGATATACGACCAAGTACCAATCTTGAAAGAAAAAGAGATTGTTATGGTTGAAAAAAGCCAAATCGATCAGAAAAGTAATGAGCTGATTATATATAAGAACTCTGAATCTTGTGTTTCTGTATGCCGAACTGCTGAAACACGTTTGATATGCAACGTTATTTCCCTCAATAAGCTGTCACTCTGAAAAATAACCATTGTCCTCAATTTGCCTAGAAAACTTCTTTGTATGGTGTCAGAACATTATTTCAACTAATTTTTTTTCTTTTTATCCTTATTATTTTTTTTCCCTTATGAATACAGTACTACTATTATTTCCTTTTTACGGAGAGATAGAGAATCCTTCGTCTCCTTTCCTCTAAGTCCAGCTCCCGTTTTCTATCTTTCCAGCGTTAATCACTGCGCATGTCGTAACGTGGAGGGTCACAGTTCGATTGATCGCCGTGTGATTGTCCGCAGTCTGTTTCGTGTGGTCTAGTATCTTTGGCTACAGACTGTTCCTCTTTAGGATTAATAAAATGGCCCCACCGGGTGCTTCACAAACATTTTTTAAAGCTGAGGGTGGAAGAGGACAAACTAGTCCGAAAGAGCTGCAAGAAATGGTCTCTAAAGCGAATCAATCTAACAAGAAAGGAGTAAATGGGATTTTACTTGGTCCTCCTGGAGCTGGTAAAGGAACTCAGGTCTGCAATTGAAGATTGCTCACTCGTTGTTTCGAATTTCCCAAACACCTTGTGAATTGCGTTTGCTCTGCCTTTACTTATAAGTTTGTTGATATTTTATTCGTTTTGTTTGTTATGCAGTTGTTTGCAAAATTCGCTCACGATCTTTCGTAATTATAAGGCTTCGATCATGACCGATCATTCGTCTCACCGATCAGAAATAATATTGGATTAACTCGTTGTTGGTTTCTTACCACAGGCACCTAAACTAGCTGAGAAATATTGTGTTTGCCACTTAGCAACAGGTATGATTTTCATAATATATATCGGTTTTAAAGTTGAGTTATTGAATCACGATCAATGTGGAAATTTCCTCTGCTTCACTCCCACTAGATCTCACGACACTCGATAAACCGGAATTTACCCACAGGATCTGAATGTCAACTCTCTGCATTCGATACCATACCTCTAAAATAATTTTACCTCTGAAAATTTGTGAAGGGGAAACGGAAAGTATCCCTTTATTGAACTCACTCCCAAGATCTTATTGGTAATCCTCCTTACTCTCTGCTGTACAATTCTTACGATGTTAGTTAGGATCAACAAATAATCCCTTAATTGATCATTTCTTTATTCTCATCTTGTGTCTGCTTGATGTTCTATTGATATTATAGTGAGAAATTCTGTCTTGATCACTCAAGGGGGTTTCTGTTGAGGAATAAGAATTTCCCTGAAATGCAAGTAAAACACAGAGCTGTATGAGCTGAACTAAACAGTATTCTCCTTCCAATTTTAGGGGATATGTTAAGAGCTGTTGTGGCATCTGGTTCCACTTTGGGCAAAAAGGTCAAACAGGTCATGGACTCTGGACAAGTAAGGATTCCTACGATCAAAAGATATTTCTTTTTCATATGAATGAGCCATTGAAATAGCCATATTGATGCTGTAACACTTTTTTGAGGCATATACAAGTAGATCTTACTTGTATTTTGGAGGGGCCTCTAGGAAAGCAAGGGTCACCAAGAAAATGAAACCTTACTCCTTTAAACCTTAAGAGTGACCAGTATTTAGTTTCTCCTCAAAGTGGAACTTTTGAATCATTTTGTTATGGTCATGAGAATTAAGGAAGTAACAGTCAACATAAGAAGCTTTGATTGTTGGATAAATTCTCCTTTTCAGCACTGAAGGAAATGTGTGGAAAGGACTATTGATGTTGATTTTAGGGTGTAAAGGGTTGATCCCGAGGACAGAGCGCAAAGAATAGATTGTAACATGTTCTTATGAAACCAAGTAAATATTACGTGATTGGCAGTATTGTTCAATTTCACTGTTATGCATGGAGAGAAAGAATTTCAGTGGATAAGGTTCAGAAATTGCAGTGATATAGGAGATAGGTTAAGGAAGCACTTCTCTAAGTTTTAGGTCTTTCACTTTTACCAAACTTAAGATTTGCATCAAAGTGTTTTGCACAAATTTACAAGCCCAGTATGAAACTGCCATGTTGGTGGATATCTTTTGTCCACCATATGGTGGCCAGAAATAGTGTAAAACGTCTGAACTTTCTTTGGCTATCTAGCCCACTGATTATCTAAACTATACCAACAAATATGCACAAAAACACTTTTTCTAATACTCAAAAATAAAAATACCAGATAGGTCTGTATTTTTCAACCAACTCATTTGGAGCTTTATGTCACACAACCAACATAACTCTGAACTTCAAACTGGGCTAGTTTCCAAACCAAGATTGCTACTGAGCTGAAAATTTGAAAACAGAAATGAATTTAGACCCCCCTTATGCCTGATGAGGATAAAAATTTTTGTGGCTCTTTATTTTTGAATTTTTAAGTTTGATGATGTCATGTCACAATAATTGCTATTCAGCAAATAGGTGATGGCAAAATTTGTAGCATTGTACCCTGCATATAGTTTTATCTTGTGGATAGTGTTATCCTACCATTGAACAACCAGGGCCTGATGTTTATCCTGGCACCACAATGTTTGCAGATGCAATGTTCAAACTTGGTCTTGCTATTTGTACCTTTTCTGACTTTCTTATACATCGAATTACATGTTGCAAGAAAAAATTGTAGATTGATATACAGCATTTGGTCTTTGCAAGGTTATAAGTTGATTGAGAAACTAGCGGCAAATAAAAACAAGAGCTGAGGAAGTTTGAAGTTATTTCTGGAACCCCTTCTTTCTAACTGGTTTCTTGACAATTTGTTAGTTGTGGGACACATTGAGTGATTTGTGTTCTTCCTCCAGAATGCAACAAAGTAACCCTTGCCCTTTCTGAACTGAATCATTCTTCTCTTGTGTCTTCTGTGCTACAGAATGACCGCGAGACCATTCCTCTCTGTGTTATCACTTAGACCAATTTGTGATTTTATCATGATTATGGCTCCACCTTACATCATGCCAAGCACCAGTGATGTGGCACATGACCCATTAGTACCTTTTACATTGCATAAATGTTTGATTAAGTACCTTTTATGCTTTGTTCTTAATTTTCTTTGCACTTCATGTTTTCAGCTTGTTAGCGATGCTCTTGTTGTTGAACTGATTGATGACAACCTTGGTAAACCTGCATGTGCAAATGGGTTTCTTCTGGATGGATTTCCAAGAACCGTGGTTCAAGCTGAAAAGGTAACAACTTTGTTCCTCTTGTTAAAGATCTCAATTGTAATTTTCCCCTCTCGTTGCTGTGCATTTTTTATTCTATTTAAGTGGCTTGAACTAAGGAGTGGTATTCCGATGCGAGTATTCCATCAGAGTCACTTGCACCTCAGCAACTTCAGTTTAGGTCATTGTAACAATCAAGTGGAAAGTTGTTTGTCAATGAGTTACTGTACATGTACATGTATGCTGGGCTCGACACTAACTTTTCAACTTACTCGCCAAGTGGCTGGTTACATCTTAGATGTTACGACAATTTTCAGTTTGTTTACTAGCCAAACTGGCTAGTGGAAATCGAAAACCACTAGCCAAAACTGAATTTCTACTAGTCTGTGGCTAGTGGGCTACTGTTGTTTTTGAGCCGTGTGTATGTTTGTAAAAGCTCATTAACCCTTTCACTGCCAAGATCTCTTTAGCAATTCTCCTCACTGTCTGTGAAACATTGCATTATAATTTTATTGCTAAGAACTGAGTAATGGATCAAGTGATGATCTCATGATCGATATCTATGTTCTCACCA